CCTGAGAACACAGTAAAGGAAGATGGCCCTTTAGACAGTGATGTCAGACACATGGGAGCATGGCTGAATGTTGGCATGAGAGAAAGCCATCCAATACTTTGTCAGAGGTGTCAGATGGGGTGTTATGAAGTGGATGGGTGCCCCAGACCTATTTCTCTGAAAGTGCCCTCTGGGCACACATAAAGTCTGCTCCACATCCTCACAGTCTACTCCTTCCATCATGGACATAACATACTGGCACTGCTCCCCCTCCCAGTTTATACCTAGAAAAGAGTCAATAGTGTCAGCATCAAAGGCAACTCTCTTACCCCTTACATAGCTAAAGTACATCTCATCCTCTCCCCCCAATGCTTTTGTATTTGTGTAGAATTCTTTGACGATGTCAGCATTGGCAGGAGAGGGGTAGGTTGCCAAGTGGCCCTAGTCTCTATTGTTCAGCTCCCTTTCAAATTGAGGAGCCAAAGATGGTATGTTGACCACCTTCCTCTACATCAGCAGTCTCCTTCCTTCCATAGTTGGGAAGTATCTCTCATGAGCGGGAGTTCTGAACTTATTTGAATAGAACTGCTCCTTCTCCTTCCTCTTTGTTCCCTTGTCTTTGGTACCAAGGGTTTTGGTCCTTTTTCTTGAAGAGGAGGTCATTCCTGCACAGAGAAATTCACAAAACAAACACATAAATCATCAAGCATTAGTCCCCAAAAATCAATAAACTCTTCTCATTCAGAATGAGGCAAAACAGAGAGCCCTCAGCATCACCTGCATAGAACTAGAAAGCCATAAAATAGAACAAACACTAAAGCAGCCACTGTCGCGTCGCGCTCGGGCGCCCCTTAGGGGGCGCTTGAGCGGCGCGCAGTGCAATCAAGCGTGGCGTTGCTGCATTTTTCACTTTCCAAAACGCAATTCTACTCAGTCCAATTAACACATTTTAATCAGTCCAAACAATGGTAAATCATGCATAAACAGTACCAATCATCAAAAATCAAACATTTTCATCAACATTCTTCAAACATCAAACTTTTAAGAGCTTAAAACACTAAATGGCATGACTTACTTGGTTGGAGACAAGAGATTAGTGGATAATGACCAAACAATTGGAAGAAATCTGAACTTTACAGCAGCCACACACTCCGAAACCCCAAACTTGAATGGTTGAATGGTGCAAAATGGTGAGAAATAGAGTTCTTGGTGGAGGAATGAGGGGAAAAGTAAGGAGAGAACTTAGGATGAGTGTTTAGGGAGGCTAGAGTGGAAGAAATCTGAGAGAGGAGGCTTCGGCGAAACCCTAGGGCGTAAAAAGAAGTGGGCTGAAATCCCGCTTGAGCCCCAACTTAAAACCTACTCTGCAGTCACGCCGCCCGGGCATCCCTCAAGGGGCACTCAAGCGGTGTGCGACACTTTTCTACCTTAGCTGTTTGGCTTGTTTTGGGTATTCCTGGCCTTGGGTTCTCAAATTCAACTTAGATTTTTCAAGTTTCTTTTCCCTAGTCCTCACAACAGCACTTAAATCAAACAATTAATCTCTCTTCACCCCTCAAATATTCAGTTATTACAGACTAAGCACACTAGAATCAAATAAACACAAAATAAACAAAAACAGAATTCAAGTAACAAAAATCCAAACTAAAGAAACAATAATCAAAATAAAAGTTTTTAAAATACTGGGTTGTCTCCCAGCAAGCGCTTCTTTAACGTCACTAGCTTGACCCAATAGGCTTATGTCACATCTTTTATCTTGGTGATATCTTTTCCTTCTCTAAACCAACTGGTCTTCAGTAACTTCCTGTTCACATTTTTTATTCTCTTGGAAATTGGAGATTCAATCTTTATCAGTCCATCAGTCCTGAGTTCTTTCACAATCCACAACTTTTTGTATAATCTCACTTGAAAGCCTGGTCTAAGTTCTTCATGTTTCTCCAGGGAATCTTGATGAACATTTTCTCCTTTGTTGTCTTTTTTTTCTTCCTATACCTGTGACAGAAAACACCTTTTACCTTTCTTACCTAGCTTTGCAACTTTAGTCCTAATCTCCGGTGCATCTCCACATGCAGCTTTGAGACTAGTCTTCTTTACCTAGATTTGCTGCTCAACATTGAAGACATTGAAAATCACCTCCTCTTCTTGGTCTTTGATAACGGTTGAAAATACTGTTATTTGTGATGTAATTTTGATACTAAATGCACCCTTTTCTGCTTAGAAACTTGCTTGGAATCACGTTTTTCTATTAAGTTCTGTGAATAAGAGAGTTGAGGTTGAATTTGATGGTTTTATGACTAATTATCCTTGTCCTGGTTGAAAATAAGATAATATGGAAAGCAGGGATGAAGTGCTAAGGAGATGGAACTCAAAAAGGCTTGGAAAAGCACCAAAAGGGAGGGATGCTCGAAGCTTGGGCGCCCTTTTTGGAGGCTTGAGCGCAAAAGAGTTCAACTCACGGCCCGAACACCCATTTTGGGGCGCTTGAGCACCAGAGGCATGAAGCTTGGGCGCCATCTGAAAGGCTTAAGCATGGAAGAACACTACTCACCGCCCAGGCGCCTTTTTTGGGGCGCTTGAGCGCCAGATGCATGAAGCTTGGGCGTCCTCACTGAGGCTTGAGCGTGGTAGACCACCGCTCACCGCTTGGGCGCCTTAAGTGGGGCGCTTGAGCGCCAACAACACGGGCTTGGGCTTGTTTCTGTTCTGTCTTCGCTCTATTTAAAGGACTCAGGCGTCTTATGTTTGGTATCTCTGGCTGGAGCAGCACAACACCACACTCTTCCACTCTCTGAAGGCGGATTTGGAGGCGGAAGCTTCCATCCTCTACTTTAACATTGGCATGTTTCGCAGACTTTATGGCCTCCGTTATAAGGGAAACCGATGCTATATACCCCGTATGTCTTCGGTTAAGATAAAATCGAGGCATATACATTAGCGAAAATTTCAAAAATGTCACCGCGTCAACTTATGTTGCTATTTCTAATCAACCGAAGCATAATAGGCACATTAGAATCTTGTTTTTTTTACTACTATTACATTTATACTTTTGATAATTTTCGTGTTTTGGTCATTCTTAAACCTGTAGTCATAGATGTCAGATCCATAACTAATGAAATAATATCACTTTTTCTTAGGATCTAGTTTAGCTCTAGTATTAGAGTCTAATAAAATATATGAAGCACAACCAAAACTTTTAGGTGTGAAAGATTTATCTCATTTCCATACCATACTTATTTAGGTAAATTGAAAGGACTCATGTTGTGTTTATTGCATAATATCTAGGATAGTCTTAACTGGATTCTTATGCATCTTGCAACAACAAGCTTATCTTTCATTACCTTCAAATATTCATCTCAAAAAATGGTGTAAAACTAATGCTTTTGCCTCATTATAAAAAGTTATCTGCTGAATAACTACATAATAATTGTATTAAATTCACCGTCAGAGTTATCTTACACTTTATTAGATGACTTCCCTTGTTCCAATGTCATTGCTCCCACATTGTTTGGGAATTTAACATAATTCAACATACAATATGTATGCCTACGTTCGTGACTATATTATGAAGTATTTGTATTTTAATGTACTTTAAACTTTACATTATATTATAACGAGAAAAACAAAATATTTTGAAGATTGAAATGAACTTTATACCAATCAAATAAGTAAAAAAAAAGAAGTGTAACATAGGAATGCCTCTTGAAATAAAATGAAAACATGACGTAATAAAACAATGAAAATAAAATTTTTAGGTTATCTAATAAACTATAATAAAATAATTTTACTAATTTAAAACGAGTGAGAACAAAATAAAATTTACATACTCGTCATTGTTTTCGTATCCAGTTTAAAATATGAAGTCATAGTTTTATAAATCCATCTTCCTAATCGGGACTAATTAGATCCACAAAAACAAATTTATTTATTATCTTTTAATAATGCTCAAATTTTATAGATTACAAAACCTGAGCTAATAGCACTATTGCTTGAATTTCCTATTGTTCATTATAATGACAATGCTCTACACTCAAACTTGGTGACACCCGTTTCAGTGTGCTCATACGACAAATTAATAAATGTATAGAAACCACAAGAATAGCGGTAGAAATTTTCACATCTATTTCAAAATCTAGATATTTTCCTATTTTAACAACTCAAAAAAGTGTTCTTTTAGGTTTTAATGTAAGAAATTTCTAAGAAAAGTGATTATTATAATTAATTTTGTTGAGTTTTCAATAAATTTTTGAATTACCTTTTCATTATTTATTAGAAAGTAAAAAATACTTTAAGAAAACGTTATCTCTTTCTAAATGTATCTCATTTTCTTTATCGACAAAGAATTATATTATATACATAATACTTCAACTCGTACACCTATAAAGGAAAAACCATATGTAGTCCCTACTCTTAGTCTTCCAAAATATCTCTCACTAATAAAAAGGAGGATTTAAACTCGCATAATAGGTTGACTTCCAAGAGATCTTTGCCGCTTTAATCACAGTAAAACTTCACTTCACCTACCGCATTCAATTTGTTCTATTCCAATACAATCATAGTATAGTAAAACATTGACTAATTCTACAAGGGTTATAATAGTAGTTGGGGCATATACATATACATATATATATATATATATATAATATATACATATACATATAATATACATATACATATAATATACATATACATATATACATATAATGTATAGATAGAGATAGATACATATGTATAGATATATACATATGTATATATATATATACATATGTATATATATATATATATGATCGACATAATTGTATATTACCTTTTTCGTCATCCCTCCCTCACGTAGATACCGATATGTTTTTATCTAAATATACTAATCATGTGAATGATATATAATGCACTCAATAGAATATGTTAAGAAATTAAAGGAATATTAATGTTGTCAGGCACTTAAAGTACTCATAAACAGAACTTTAATGTGAACTACAAATTACATGGAGTTTTTTTTTTTTTTAAATTAAACACGGTCACTTATATCACATAAATATATAAGAATAAAGTAGAAATAAAGAATGTACTACGGCTTATTTTCCATGAAAATTTTATTCAAGAATTGGCAGTTGCTATAGTTGTGACCGGTATCAAGCACTCTTGAAATGGAAGGCAAAAACATTTAAGATATTGGACTTCACTTCAACTATCTAAGAATGTCTGTCTCCATCAAAGGATAAAAGTCCTCAAAGCTTTTATGTTATCATTGTGTCTTTGCTTGTATGCAGTAAGAGGGTGGTTTCAGATGAAGGGATAATGCCATAGGCTCCATCTTTTTGACTAGTCTTATTTTCCTCTTGAGCCTGACCCCATAATACAGCATAAAATCCGATAGCTATTACAGCACATCCTATCACACTGCACAATGAATCAAAATCCAACAACTTATTAATTACGAAAAATCTAACGTTATTAATTTCTTGCTATGCATGCACATACCTTCCAAGATAAAGAGTGTCTCCCAGAAATATAATCCCCATAACAAGTGCAAACACAATTCCTAAAGGACTGAACATAGCAACATATACAGCTCCCATCTTTCTACATGCCCATGCATCAACCACACCTCGTGTACATACTGTTATAATGGCCTGCATACAAGAATCACAAAAATAACTACAGCAGTAAAATAAGGTCCGAATTGTGCAAAGTTATTGGTCTGCTGCATCAAATAGTTTGTTCTGCAATAAATCCAAACTTACTGTACACAATATGCACACCAGTTCCATATCAGGCTTAAGTATCCATGCCTTGGGATTTTTCTCTGCAATGAAAGCAACTACGAAAGATAGGAATAAAGAGAAACTGGTAGCAATGCTAATTAGAATTAGCTCCTCTGGGTAGTCCTTAATTGTCCATGTCTGCATCAAAAGACTCATTTTTGTTATGTGTGAGGACAAAATGACATTGCAGAAAAAAAGAAGTACATAAGAGAATTAGAAGAACGGAAAATGAATAAAAAGATTTAAAGGGACTAAATTTGACCTTAAACTCTTTGAGAAGAACTAAAAACATGTTTGTTCATAGGAAAACTTACCCAACACAACAAGTATCCTAATCCTAAGCAGTATGATCTGACAAGGTTTATTGAACGATATTAACCTAAAATGATTAAATAATATTGTATGAAGTATTTATTATATAACTATCATATATTAACCTAATATATCACTAAATTCTCTATAGTTTTTAATATTATATATATATATATATATATATATATATATATATATAAACTCAATTTTTATAATTNATATATATATATATATATATATATATATAAAGGCATTATTATTATTATTCTTTTAATTTAACATACTATCCTTCCGGGAGTTGTTGGTGAGAGTTTCAGAGTTGTTTTCCTTGCCTAGTGTGTGTATAGAGCTAATATGAAGAAAATTGTGTAATTGTGTGCTTGTTGTTTCAAGAATATTATAAATGATTTTATACTTAAAATAATTTGAGTATGTGATAATAACGATAATTGTTATGAGGTGATTAATTGAGATGTGTATATGTATATTTATGGTTTGTAAACATGTTTATGGTTGATGAATATGATGATGATGAGTATGTCTTGATCATGTGCATGATAGATATACGTAATTCCATGATTCTTGTGAAGATATCCCATGGTAGTGCCTTGTAGTATTTGTATTATTGTAGGAGCTCAGTTTTTGGGATTTTCCTGACACTCTAATGGTCATCCATTCTCAAGTAGAGAGGGGATCATGTGGTAAGAGTAGCAGGTTCGAGTCTGAAGGCCTTTACCTTCGGCAAAGAGTGTTTTAATGGTCTAATCTTGTGTGGTAGGTTGGGTGGGCCAATTGTTCCACCATTACAAGTGTACAACCCGTCATAGCTCGACAATAATGCATGTATTCAGATTTTGAGTCTAAATGTCTTACCTATTTAGGTGTTGTGTTTGGTTGAAATGAAAATGTTATATGCTGCTTTTAGAATTCAATGTTTTATCCTTTTGGATATTAGTTTACCCTTGTTGTATTGTTTGTTTGTGTTTGTTGTATGTGTGGATTATCACCAGATTGGTGTCAAACAAAGGTAAATGATGTTTCTATGGAGGAGGTACTATGGAAAGATGACACGAATGTATATTAATAACACTCTATTTTTTTATATTTTTCATTGTTAAAAATAATTTCTTAGGGTTCTTTAGCTTTTATTTTTTTAGAAATAGAATAGTTTAGTGTAAAATGGTAAAAACAACTTTTTAATAAAAATTTTGTTAATTTTCTCTTTTTAAGTAAATAAAATTAGTTTTTGAAATAAATAGATTTTTTTTTACAAAAAATTTCGAAAACAAAATAAAAATATATTTTAGAATTGGTTATAATTTTTTACTCTTTTTTAATACATATTTTTTCTTTTTGCAGACTTCTTTTTGGGCTGGAATTAAGTAGCTACATTGAAATTGGGTCGTTGTTAGGTTTGACTGATGTGCACCAGCCGCGTTCTGGTTTCTTATTGGACTGCTGTTGGGCTGCTAAAGCTGCTTTGAAGCAGTTGGGCAAAAGTTTGTTAAGCAAATATGGATTGGGCTGGCTAGACCATGGGCTCCAATTAGTAGGACGACGCCGGTTTGGCATTGTTGCTGCATAGGAGTCTCTTCCCCTCATTTTCATTTTCTAATGGGCTTGAGCAATTCACTTTAGAGAGGAGAGAACCCATAGTTAGGGCTTCGAGTAAGAGAGATAGAGGAGCGCATCCTGACCTGAGAAGACGACGCCAAGCTCGCGATGCTACCTGGAGAAGAAGACCTGACTGGAGCTGCCACGTGGAGAGAATCAAACGGCAAAAGGAAAGCAAGGATGCAAAGTGAAGGTTGTTCGTCCGATAATGAAGCGTAGTGAGCAAGGTTTTCCCTTTTCCTTCTTTCATTTTTTTCAACCCTATATAAAGGGGTTTTTCCATCAAGTAAATAGGCTGGGATACTTTTTTTTCGCTACAAGTTTTACATTCTTTAGATTAAGGTTTTTAGTCTTAGTTGCTACTGGATTTCGCAGAGGATTTCATGAGAGTGACATATCGTGTGCTTCCTCTGTGGTTTCTGGTATTTTGTAATGTAGCTTTTGATTCTAATAAATTGTTGATTCTGTTTTCGATTCCTTATTTCAATTTTGTTCCTATTCAGTTTATGATTTGATTTCTGCAAGTGTTTTGTTTTGAAAATGAGTTGAACTCGTAAAATCTGCACATCTGTGTATTCCTTTTGGGAATTTAAATAACTCCATAGTGAGCATAATTGATCGAGATGTCTCTCGAGTGGGATACGAGTTCATGCATAAAGATTCTACATCAGATTTTATTTTCATTCTTTTCTTTTTATTATTTGTACTATGTGTGATTTCAATTTTTTAAGGCTTAATTACCTACTTAGTCCCATGTTCCGGAGGTAATTTGCTGTTAGTATACCCGTTTTAAAAATGTAGGCATTTGATACCTATGTTTTTGAAATTTGTATCAATTAATCCTACCCACTTAACGCCGTTTTATAATCTAAGTTTTTTGACTGTGTATGTTGATTTGTGAACGAGCGTTTTGTGGACGAGCGACGAGGACGCTCGTCCAGCGAAGAGGACGCTCGTCCAGCGAGGCAAAAGAGGACGCTCGTCCAGCGAAGACGCCCAGTCAGGCAGAAAGAGGACGCTCGTCCAACGAAGCGAACGCTCGTCCATAACCGCTCGTCCACAAATCACATACACAGTCAAGAAAAAACGTTTAGATTTATAACGCGTTAAGTGTGGTTCAATTGATACAATTTCAAAACATAGGTATCAAATGCCTACATTTTTTAAAACGGGTACTAAACAGCAAATTACCTCTGAACATGGGGACTAAGTAGGTAATTAAGCCATTTTTTAATTGGACTTTGGTTGAGAAAGTTAAGGAAAACATACAAATTTCTACATCTGTTTTGGATGTAATAGGACCCCGAAGTGGGCCTAGATTTTCAAAAGGTCTTCTTGAAATATGTTAAACTTCATAATTGTTAGACTAAGTCCAATTTCAGTCTTGTATTTTCTTTCTTGTGAAATTGTGCATTTACCTATGAATTCAACTATGCTTTGAGATTGTTCTTTGCTTTTGATAGTGATAGTTGAAGTGTAGTTTGAGTTTTGATGTTCTGGTTGTTTACTTTGAGTATTTTAGAGTTCATGATGGTTTACTTTTGTTTCAGCTTTTATATTTTTGATGTTTTGATTTTTGTCCAGTTATAATTGATTCCTACCATTGCATTTCATTTGTTGCATGTGTCCTTAAGTTCTTTTAAGTAGATTGATTCAAACTTTTAGTGTAACATATACATACTATTCATTTGTAGGTTTAGTTGCATCATTTAGATATTGCATTTATAGTTTTTAGGTTATGTTATTAGGCAGTAACAATGTTCATTAGTTTTAGGATAATTTTAGTTGCATTTAAATGTTCATATTAGCTTAGGTCATGTTACTGTTTCTATCTTAGGGAGCTAGATTTCTATTTTTTTTTTTTTTCCTTTTTTTCATATTCTTTCTTCTTCTAAAATGATTTTAGTTTTAAATTCTTTTCCTTTTTTTTCATTCATTTAATTTTTCCCACCTGTTTAATAGTTAGTAAATAGAATAAAAGCAAGAATTAACTAAACACTTAAAACTTAATTGTACCGAGTCAAAGGATTGATACCTAAGTTATCCCTATACTTCATTAGTGGGGAAATCTAGCTTTGTTCTGATTTTGTGATAGCTTGGGGTGGACCCGTTCTTCCACCATAGTTTGACAATAACACATGTTAATTTATAATTATTGATGGGTTACTTTGAAAATATTATTTCAATTCATACGTCCTTGATAAATACCCATGTGATACGGGGGACCAAGCTAATTAGTTTAGTGTAGTATTTCTTTTACTTTTAATTAAAAGCATGTGTAAAAGGTGTTAGGCATGTGCTGGTAGGAGGGACTTTTTAGTCCTATATATAGAACATGCCACCACCTCTTGTAACACACTTTTTGAGAATAATGAATTAACTTTGTAGAGAGAACTCCAGAAATTATTCCCTTGAAAGTCAAAGCTAGAGAATCCCAAAGGATCTCCTCTAGCACCTTCCATTCACAACTTCATCTTTCATTTTCCATTTACACTCCAGAACTCTCTTACCTCCACGTAACCATTGGTTTTCTCCATTCTGCACCAGCCGCGTGGATTGACTACTCCATCGCTGCCCACGCGAGCTTATTCCTCGCGAGTTTCCATCAGCACAACACTGCATCTTCATTTCGCGAATCTTCATCTACTTCACTCTCGAGAGAGAGCTCTTCCACCACGAACCACACTTGTCATCGTAGAACCTCACCTTTCTCGCCGATTAAAATCACCTCTCCACCATTCAAATCTGTGCGTTTGGTTTTTTTTTCAAATTTTTCCGTGTTTTGATTATCATTCGTGCAATGTCTTGAGTTTTTACTTTGTCTTGTTCAATTTTTTGGTTTCTGTACATATTTACTGCTTACATAGGTTCTGGTTGAGTCAATTTGTGTGTGCCAGATTTTACTTTGAGTCTTTTCTTCATCTTAATCGGTCAAAATTTTGTTTGAGTCATTTTATTTGAGCATCATATTCTGTTTGTTGTCAAAGTCATGTTCAGTTGCTATTTGTCATAAATTTGGTTGAAACCGTGTTTTGATTGAGCTGAACAATCTGATTGAATGTTCCTTACTGCACTCCATATGAGCTATGACAACTCGCTTAGAGCTCGAGTGCATGATGGATGACATCAGATTCAGCTTCAATTTTTTTTCAGGATTTATAATTGCCTTTGTGTTGATTTGCAAGGAACGAGAGTTGAACTCTTGAGACATT